CACGTACAACAAACGATTAGGCATAAAATAGATAAAATGTAAAAAAATTGAACTAATAGCATATTTTTATTTCTTTTTTACGAAAATTTACATTAGAAGGAAATCAGTTTTTTTTATTTTATAAATCTTATAAATGCGTCATAACGTAAGTCTAAAATAAAAAATTAATAAAATTATGATATCATAATTACAAAGAAAAAAAAACACCACGCAATTACCGAAAATTGATTTACCTGTTCATACTAACCTATTTTGAAATTGCAGTAAATATAAAGATTTATCGAAAATGCAACTATAAATTCTGTTTCGAAGAACAAAAACATTAACAATAGTAAAAAAAAAAATCAAACTAAGATATAAATTGTTGCCTTGGCTTTTAGTAAATGAATAAAAGCAGTAAGTTCCAATAATGAAACTATCTATCATTCATTTTTAATAATAGACACCACATGAAGGTAAGCTGTTTATCAACACAAAAAATCACAACAATAACATCACAACAATAACACATAACAATAAGATCCAATGAAAGTAATAAACTAAATTAAAATATAAAACGCAAAATTAAAAAACCAATTTAAAGTTAACCATATATATCTTTTTACTAAACTTTAATAAAGTATATTTGTTTTTATATTCAATATTAGTTATTCAATTATTTCATATTTAGGACATTAAAGCACCCTAGATTTTAAGATTAAGGTTACATACTCTCTCATCCACATTACGCTAAACATTACCAGATATTATTATGTGTTTCCAGAATAATTAAAAGAGCTAGACAACAAAACCTAACTCTAAAGCAGTAACACTGCCTGACACTAAATGCTGCCAAATTACACCTCTGCTATAAGTACACCGCTTGGCTGGCAAGGTTATCAAACTTGCTTAACATAATACCAAGACGCGCTACTTTGAAAGCATAAAAATAACATAACTTAAATATATATACAACTATAAACAAATATGACTTTATGTGACACATATTAACACTTTTACAACTATTGAATAACAGATATATTTATCAAAAACTATGAAAAAAAAATAATGATAAATAAAGTTATACATACAAAATGTGCTCACAATCTTTAATGTTAAATTTTCGAAATGAAAATCTAAAGACTATATATTAAGAACATTGGAAAATATAACAATATTTATGTAACATTTTTTACCTAATATACCTTGAATATGAAGTTTATCAGTTTTGAAAAACAAACTATTAAACGCTCTAGTTCTTGAACATGCAACATATAGTTAAACATTAGAAAAACACGGTTTTTTAGATTTTTCTTTTGTGTTTAATTTCGTGATATGTAATATATAGAAGATCCCTAAAGTAAAATACTTGAAACTAAAAAGATTTTATTTATTACAATATTTGAACAACCAAGGGACAATTTAAAGAATTATATCTTTAAATAGCAAGCAACTCGTAAATATATCTTATAAATGGTCATTATTATTCGCAGTATTAAAAAATACACAAGAGCTCAGTAATTACATGAGTTTAATCAATTATCCTTGTACTAATTCTTATTTAAGTCTCATCTAAGAAAAAGAAGTATTTTAAAAGCAGCATGTTAGAAAAAGTAGAAAAGTCATGCAATAAATAACAGTAACTTGTTTTATTATGCTACCAATAAACAAAATTATTTTTACCTTAACTAAAAGTCAATTTCCAGCATTTCTTAAATAAGTTCTAGCTTCTCTGTAACTGTTGACAAATGATTAATATTGTAAGTTTCACATCATATTAAATTTACAAAACTAAAACCATGTTTCAAAAGTAAGCAAAATAATCAAGTGATGACGAAGACAACTAAAAAAAAAATGAACATAATTATGTTTAAGATTACAAAAAAAAAAAGTTAAAATCATTTAAAATTAAAACTGTTAATACAAACAGTTTTCCATGTTAAATACATAAAATATATATCCAATATAAAATAAATCTATTATAAAATAAAACAAAATATTAAACCTACTCAAAACAGTAACAGTTTGACTGTCTTAAAATTTTTATAATTAACCCTTCTATTTAAAAAAAAAAACAATTGATTTGAAGTGACTAAAAAGCACTTTAGTTTTTTCTCTTTGCACTAAAAAATGAAACAGATCTTGCTTGGCTTAGTTACCTAGTTCTTAAGAATCTGAAAGCATGTAAGTAAAAATCGAAGAACAAACAAACATTTATTAAACTACTTTACTTAAACAAATTAAATTAAACAGAAAACAACATTGGTTCTCTTTGAAAACTAAAAACCGTTTCAGCTCAAATTTGCTTAAAGACTTTGCTTATAAAACCACTTGAATAAGAAAAGCATCAAAAAAGCCTAGAAGATACTTAAAAATGGTAATGCAACATTGAATTTTAAATTTTGACTGAAGTAGATATTTTTAAAAAAATTATAAAAATTCAAAACGATTTGTTATTCTATAGCAAATAATGACACCATATATCTGAAGTTAAAAATGTAACGAATAAGTAAATGCAAAGAAAAACATCATATGTGAATTGAAAATCAATGTACCTGATAAGGATAAGTTGTTGTGATACCTGAGTAGTAGTTGCTAAATATTTTGTTATTTCATGATAAACAAAATGTATTTATAGCAAAATGATGTCTAGAATGAATTTTGGTAAATAAATAAAAGCAGCGAGTTCTAGTAATGAAACTAGCTATTAATCATTTTTATCAGCTGAGACCAACGTAAAGATATGCCAAAGGTAACAACATTACGCAAAAAGTTATTAAAGATAATGCTACGTGTTTTCAGAACAGTTACATTAAAGGCTAGGCTTGACTGGTAAGGTTGACAAAACTTGCTCTAACTGTTTGCCAAGTCACGCTACTTTGAAATCATGGAAACAACATTGTATAAACATATATACTAATTATAAAACACAATATATTTTTTAAATGTTACTTAACATATAAAAACACCCTATTTAACAATCATGCACAAATTAGATATAATACATTTCATACTATTATAAAAACACATTTATATAAACACCTTTATAAAACAACTATATAACATATATCATCACATAAACGTATTTATCAAAAAAAATTTAATTTTGAGCATAATATACATGCAAACATATATGCAAACTTTTAACAACTATAAAACAACATTTATTAGCATCAATTATTTTTAATGTAACAAAGAATGCAGACTTCAATGCACAACATTGTTAATAAAAATTAAGTTATGTTAGTCAGTAAATATTTATCTAAAGTGATGAAAAAGAAGCCATTTAAAAACAAAATTAAAAATATCTAATAAATACATATTTAGATACCATAATATGAAGCATAACCAACAGTCTTTTGACAAATTCCAGAAGAAATTTTTTATTTATTTTTCTATTCTCAATTATTTTTGCTAAGAGAAAATATACTCATAGTATAGATATAAAGAAATATAAAATAGACTAAAATAAACGCAAACTTATGTATATAAACTTACATGAACACAAAT